CCTGCGTGGAACACTACCCAATTCACCAAGTCCAGTGACCCGATTTAGACTTTAAACCAGTTAAATTAAAAAAAAAACTCTTTTTAAAGTAATAAATGACAAAAAATGTGAGAATTTAAGCAAATAAAGTATGCATATCTTAATTGCAACATGATTCTCAAGGTTCTTTTACCATTAGTGATATCAACTAGCATTTAAGAACCAAACCTAAAACGTACCATGTTCCCTAGCGTACCATATAAGCCTACCCCGACGTACATGATTCCTAATGAGTGGCGTACCACATTCCCGTACCTGTCCCATGAACTGAAACGAAATGGGTTCCATGCAACTATGAGCATAATACCTAATCTAGACATCATGAACGGATATAAGAGACATGCTAGTCCTTCAGCAGCATATCATCAATATAGCCAACTACTTATTTGTGTACATCACTGATTGTTTTTTTTTTATAGAACCAATCATATAAATTATGACATTTACAATCAGCACAAGCCATTAACCAAACAGGAAACTAAAAAAATGAACATAGTACACTCACCATGGACAAAGTTAAGCCTTCAAGTGCTTGACTTTGAAGAAATACATCACGGAAGTTCATGGAATCACCTTCGAGATCAGATTCAGAAAATAATACCTATTCATACATCAAAGTAACAGATGAATTACGACTTCTAATACTATGCCATCCATGGTTAGTTCAAACAATAACTATCTATCTCAAAATATTATGGCAAACCCACCAAAGATTGTTACCCTCTGTTGAGAGAGTACCTAACTTGGTGATCTCAAAAGGTGAGGCAGAGACAAAAATAAAGAACTGTAATTTTAAGAGTAAAGGGTAGAATAATAAGTAAAGCAGCAATAAAGCCTTTACATCACGAAACTGGAGTCACATATATTCTTGTTTCAGCTTTCTATTTAGATTCATATTTATTGTTAAATTAGCAACTAATGACTAGTATACTCAAGGGGCTGGACTTGGTATTACGATTGAGGGGCTAATTGAGAGGAAGGTAAAGGCTACTGATCAAATCAATAATACGAATGGGACTGAAAATAATTAGTTTGAACACTTCCTCATCAGGTTCATCTTTCTTGGACCGAAGTTCCAGCACCTCCTTCCAAGATGAAACTATCATTCCTCTTAATCAATCCAAACCATCTCAAATAATATTCCCTTGTATTATCCCTGATTAAAATAGCCTCGAGTTTCATAAAAAATGTACTCGTTCCATATTTTACATGTAAGTTCTCATCCATCTCAAGAACATGGATCATATTAGTTAGGGTTATGCTAATGAGGGCTCTCTCAGTGTGATTGTTTAGCACTAATGAATACCATCCGGTACACCAATTATAACCAATTTCATTCTTTACAATGCACAAAGTTAATATAAATATTGAAAGCATCCCCATAATGTTCATGTCTTCTACGTTTTGTATTCATTGCATACTTCTTGACTCATTGTAACTAGAACCTCATTTAAGAGTGTGATCCATCCATCAAAATCATAAAAAATACACAAGTTTTGGTGGATCTGAAAATAATAATAACAAAAGATTCATACAGATTGTAACAGCTTAATTTTAGGAAAACAATCCATCACTAACTGAGATGCTGCCAATCGATTCACTGATCATGAAAGAACTATAAGAGTAATCAATATGCTCACCAGGAGAGTCTTTTTCGGTTCAAGAGATTCGGACCGTTCTAGAATTGTTGCTTTCTCCGAATTTCCATGTATGCTTTCAACTCCTTTCAGTGAAACCAACAATTGCCTTAACAGTTGAACTCTCTCTCCCCCCCTACAAGAAATCACTACCTCTTCCAACTTTTGTGCTGTGTATTCAAAGTTTTTATAGTTCCGAGTACCCTGCAGATGACAAAATTAAATAAGTCATCAAAAATTTGCCAATGACACTAATCAGAAGTAAATATAATGAAACAAGAGAAATCCCATATCAATTTCTCAGCTAAATTGTGTTATATACATATATTATTAAGAACCAATGGTTATATGAATATTCATCTACTATATATCTTTTTAATCAAAAATATTAAATTCACCCCCACTGGAAAGTTCAAGACTCCCTAAATTTTAGGAATTTTCTCTAATTTTTAAAGTTTAGGGTTGATTTGTGCGAATCACCTAAAAGTTTAGGAGTTTTTGTGAAACTTACAATGCGATCGTTTAGAATCCTGGCTCCGCCGGCGACAGCCTGGCCAGCGTGATGGAGAACAGTGCCAGCGTAACTCTTGACACTACGTCCGATAGGGCTACGGCCTCCGGCAACCACCGCCCTGTTGACGGTGCTCTTGAACCAAGACATCGCCTTTTTCCTTTCTCGATCCCTAGATATCCTGATTTTGGGAGGATGGTCATGAAATTGGGGGAAATGAGAGAGAGCAAGAGTTTAATTTGGATCTGGGGGGTTGGAATCGGTCGACGACGAAAGTTTCCGATTCCATCGGAGGACTTGGATGCGTGTTGATCGGTGATGGATCATCGGAGCGCGGGAAAATTTGGCGGGTGAGCGAGAGAAGAGGAGAAGACAAGCGGAGGCTTTAGCGGGTCGGAGTTACTAATCTGTGTCCGGATCCTATTTGGTTATAAATTTGGGGAAATTTTCAAAACAGACCATTTCTAACTTTCATTTACCAAAATCAACCAATTTCGAACATATTCACAACAATCAACCCAGTTTAACAAGGTCAAAAGATGTCTTTCTAATTTGCTAGGGTTACCAACGCCGGCTACTTAGTAACCTGGTTAGTTAACCGTCTAAATAGCCGCGCTTGGCAACCGTGATTATTTTGAACTGTAGTTTTAGCCCCTACTGCTAACCTATGTAATTAAATTAGTATATCTAATTAGTCAAAGCTGACAACCCTGACTAATTAAAAAAAATATTTTTTTAATCGATACAGTTCTAGCCTGCGCTGCTAACGTGGCCAAAACTGGATCGATTTTTATAAATAAATTTGAAATGGACCGATTTTGGGGAATAAAATTATAAATGAATATATTTTAATAAAAATTTCCTATAAATTTCTTCTTCTTTTTCTCGAGTGATTTTTCTTTTTCTTTTTTTTAGTTATGCCACTGCTAAATAAATACGCAAGTATGTGATTTCCATAAAAAATGCGTACGTGTATGTGATTGGACATGGTATTCTGATAACACGATATAAGTATTGATCATACAATTGAAGTTATTATGACATAATATTTGTATATTCAAGACTAATTTTCATTGTAGTGACTATTGCCAGAGATTTAACCCCATAGGCATTTTATTTTGCATTCGTATATATTGTTTGATGGTGTTCGATTTTAGGGAATATGAATGTAGTATATTTGTATCCATTTCTCATATTTATAATCAGTAAGCGGATATTATATACCATAAATATCTTAGACAAAATCGATCTCTGATCCATATCCGCTTTAGTTTGAATCCAGAGAAAAGTCAGTTTCTTCTAGGAAAATTTTATTGAACCCTCTCTTGCACATAAACAGGAATGCAATGAAAAATTACCTGCAGAGGGCACAGGTGAATATATTATTTCCAACATTTATCAAACTTTCTCCCTTCTGCACCATTTATTTACTCATTTTTTTTAAAATTGCTGCTGCACATCCATGGACTTTAATTACTGCAAGAAAATAACAAACGCCTGTTGAGCAGTGAAAATGGTCAACAGCTTTGCCATAGAGAATTCACCAGAACATATAGATTGGATTCTGGGATTCATTTGTGAGAAATAAAAGAGAAATGACAAAACTTAACAACGAGAAGGAGAACCTTTATTATACATCTAACTACGTTGCTTCATTGACAGAATAAAATCTCGATTTATAAAATAAAAAAAAATTTAAAATAGAAAAACCATTTCTCTTGATAGATAATTTACAAATGGAAAGAGAGGTCCCTTGAATCAGACAAAATGAATTTAGTATACACTTGATCGCCTCCAAGGCATGTGCAAGTAGGATGGCGTTATTGCTCGTTAATGAATAATGTTACACCAGAGGATATCACAACTTGTCATCAGTATTATTCCCATGATACTGTAGCAATCAGTCGATGTCTGGCAATGGCATCTTCCAGTAATTCCAAGCGTTGAAATCCTCCTGAAGAGGATGATTACAGGGGGGATAAGAGAATACTTCATGTTATAACAGGTACTCACATTTATTGAATCTAGACCAAGAAAAAATATGCTGAAGCTGTGCATGACTCGTGAAGAGTTCAAAATACCAAGTCTGGGAGTTGACATTTTGACATTTTCAATTGTGCTTGCTATTTGGCTCATTGCAACTGTAATTTCAATACGAGTGCTATTTGCAAACGACGACAGATATTAATCACGGTAAAACAAACACAGCAACTGATCCAAAATGTCTATGCTGCGTGTAACTACTGGAAATAGAAATTTTATGGGAAAATTTTGGGGGTTATTTGAGATGCTTTGTGATGCAAGACAATCATAGATCGTCCATCAAAAAAATTTAAGATCTATTAGAATAATTTTAATTTTAGTAATATTTTATTTGATCCCATGTAATCTTTTTTTTGTTGTTGTTGGGATTTCCTTAGGATTTGATTTTCAAACTCTTCCTATTTTAGCTAGAATTTTATTTGATTGCATCTTTTAGTTTTGTTAGGTTTTGATTTGATTAGGATTTTTACTTATTTCCTTAAGTGTTTAGTTGCTTTCTTTTCCTATAAATAAGAAATGTAATCCTCCTTGAGGAATAGACATTTATGAATAAAAATATTAAGTTTGAGAATTCTCTTTTGAGCATGTGAGATGTTCTTTAGTATGTGATTTGTCACGTTGGGGTGTGAAGCCCTTGAGTGTGAGGCCTGTTATCTAACAAAATATTATTTCATTTCATTATTCTTCTTGATCAATCCCTCTAAAAGAATCAACAACATTCAACCCGAGCCAAATACTTGAAGAAACCCTAAAACCCCAAAACGGAGTACTGTTCAAGGATAAACAATAATCATTGCACCATTCATCGAATGAACAGTACCCCCTTACAATTCATCATGCATTTTAACCTCGTTCCTCCAAGTCGTCGAGTTCTCGCCACCGAATCGAAGCCCTCGCACCGCTCCCCATCATTTGGTTTCAGAGCCGAATGATCCACAATTATCAGTGGTAAAATATCACTACCTCCTTCATAAGGGTATGATTTTAATCCATTTAAATTTGGTACCCTAGCCTACTTTTATAGATTTGATGGATATGAGGAGCCTTATGAGTTTGATGTTGGAATTTTCAATATAAAAGATATATTTTCTATCTATGATATGTCAGAACTGAAAATGTATTTATACGTTGAATGTAAGCTAAAGAAAGAGGTAAAATATTAGTAGTATAGAAACTATTATCATTCAAATATCTGCTCATGGACAACTATGAAAGCTCTTTTGGAGAGGAGGTACTCTAGCCCATCATCTAGAAAATATTGTCTCTTTAAATTCTAAAGCAAAGCCAACACAAATTTCTCAACCCCGGCTAAATCAAAATTTAATTTCAATCCGGATCCGAAGCCTCAACTTGAGTCAGACGAGAAAGCAAAGCAAGATCAAAATTTTAATCAAGAACTAAAGTCAAGTCTCAATGTCAACTAGAATCAGATGTGGATCAAAAGATCAATCTAGAGTGCGAGGCTAAATTACAGCTAAAAGAAGAAAATCAAAAGATAGGTCCAGAGCCAAAGCTTAAACAAGAGTCGAAACAAAAAACAAAGCAACAGTTCAATGTAAAGCTCGAACTTGAATCAAACCCAAAGCTCAAGTCAAACGTAGAATCCGAACTTGAGGTTGATATGCGGTGCAAATTTCAAGTTAATCTGGTTATTGAGTTCGTTATTCCAGACCCTTCGTCACCAACTCAATATCGGGTTTTACAGCTCATCTTGAAGATCTTGCAATCTACAACATAATTCTTCTCACCACTTAAGTCAAATATTATGCTCTCCCATTATAAAACTCGAGATTGAGTTTTCTCTACCAAGAGGAGATTTGATGTAGGACAATCATAGATCATCCATCAAAAAATTTTACGATCTATTAGAATAATTTTAATTTTAGTAATATTTAATTTGATCTCATGTAATCTTTTTTTAGTTAGGATTTCTGTAGGATTTGATTTTGAAATCTCTTTGTATTTTAGGTAGGATTTTATTTGATTGCATCTTTTAGATTTGTTAGATTTTGATTTAATTAGGATTTTTATTTACTTCCTTAAGTGTTTAGTTGTTTTTTTCTATAAATAAGAAATGTAATCCTCCGTGAGGAATAGACATTGATGAATAAAAAAATTGAGTTTGAGAATTCTCTCTTGAGCATGTGAGGTGCTCTTTGGCATGTAATTTTGCTACATTGGGATGTGAAGCCCTTAGGTGTGAGGCTCCTAGGTGTGAGCCTATTATCTATCAAAATATTATTTCCTTTCATTATCCTTCTTGATCAATCCCTCCAAAAGAATCCACAACATTCAACCTTAGTCAAATACTCGAAGAAACCCTAAAACCCCCAAAACTTAGTACTGTTCAAGGATGAACAGTATTCATCGCATGAACAGTACCCTCCTTACGATTCGTCGTGGATTTTAACCTCATTCCTCCAAGTCGTCGATGATTTCTCGCCACCAGATCGAAGCCCTCACGCCGCTCCCTATCATTTGGAGTTTTTTTGGTTTTGTGGGAAATGTTCTGAGATTTTGTGGGGGAAAACAAAGTTCAGAGGGGCTTTCTACAAAATGCCACAAAGGTTTGGAGGGTTTTGTGAAATCTACCCTCAAAAAGTATGTCACGATGTATCGGGTATATGTTGCTGCATACATATAAATTTCCAACGCTAAAGAGGATATATCAATGCAACAGAATACGTACCTGCTCAACCATTGATGTGGGTGGAAACATGTCATTGACCAATGTATGCAAGTTCGTATATGATTTCACGCCAACGCAGTGGTTAATCGCGACTTCACCCTGACACAATATATATTTTTAAATGAACTGGATATCATGTTGGTTGTGCTCCAGCAAACCTACAAGAGAGTAAAAGTACCTTGGGGTTGATTATAAATATTTTCCCTTTAGGGATTCCAATCTTCCTATAGCTAAGCTCGTCGGTATCTCGATTCCCAAAGCCCGCATAAAATGGGTTATAATCAGAAGGGAAAAGTGCTTTGATATCCTACAAAATTAAAAGAAAGGTGAGTTCAATAGGTAAGTCAACAGAAAACTAAAAACATTACCCAGCAAATTCTCAAAGTTTTTTTGAATGAGGTTTTGAAGATGAGACAGGCCAGGTTAACCCGAATAGTAGCAGCATAGTTGGACTAGGAATACCAACTATCTCACATAATTTGACTCTTACATAACATGATTATGATATCCAAATTCTCCTACAATATGTTGAAATCTTGAAGGTAGATGGCCTTGCACTACTTCAATGTAATCTGAGGTGGCATGGTTTATGCTAAATAAAACATTACTTTCTATGCAAGAAAATTACCTCCAAGCATGCAATTTTGAACTCGTGGGGTGCTCTGCGTATAACTGTAGCAAGAAAGATATTCCAGTCAGAAACTGAGAGTGTCATGATCAACAAGGAAAACACAGGGGTATATTAATCTTTGCTGTCAGTCATATCCAACTACACCTTGGCTACATGAGATAGTAGTAAAATGAGTTTAATCAGCTTTCTTGTGAAACTAGTAAAATATATTCTACCATGTGAATGAACAGCTTGTCCTTGCAGATGGTAATAATAAAAGGCCAAGTTAGTCTTAAACATAGTTTTACTAGCTACACAGTGATCTGCATTAGGCAATAACTAATCATATTGACATCTAGACCTAGATAAAGATACATAAGCACCTAAGAGATGTTAAAACGTATAAATTAGCCAAACTGATAATACAACATATAAAAAGAGTTGGATAGTTTTTGGTTATATGGCAAGCCTCTCCTCTTGTACATTACTGTGAATACTTAGTCATCTTTTAAGGGAGGGTTTTACGAAGTTGCTAGTGCACAACACTGTGCGTAATTATAGTATGTGTAGACATGTTCCTTGTGATGGAAGATTACTTGTTTGCTTATTTGAATCCGCAAGTTGGCAGCACACCAAAAATACTGAGACATTTACTTCACTAAAAATACAAATTAGTATTTACATTATAAATTATAAACATAAATTAGGTAATGAGAATATATTTCAAACTAGTTAGACTTTTCATGGTAACAAACACTAAAATTTAGTAATTGAGTTACATGGCTGAGTAACAACTACTTGTGATCATAAGATGATGAACTGCTAACAATTTTACAAATCAAATTCAATCTAGTAATGCTACTAAATACTCAAAAGTAGTGCAGAATGAACAGATATACCTTCTCTGAATAGCGAAGGAAACAATCCATCTGGGGAAATAACAACAGGCCCGCTAGGCAGCGCTTTTCCATCCTGTAAGAGAATCAAAATTAAAGAATCTGAATGAATAGATAAATCAAAAATAAAAAACCAAACCTAAAACACAAACCAAAATCCAGAAATCTAATAATTACATTATAAATTGATTGTAGTGAAAATAACAAGGATTCACTTATCATGTCAGCATACTCATCAGCACACCAAAATCCTATCAAATAGGGTCAGATAAACAGGATCAACTACAAATGTACAAGCATTAATAAACAAAGTAATAAATTTCACGTGCAGCTCCCTACATGATATAAATATGGAATTTGGTCGAATTTTCCTTGCATAGAAGCTTGTCAAAAAGGGACCTTGAAGACCCCTTGGCAAGTAAGGCTCAGAAAAGTTCTTACACTTCTCTGAGAATAAAATAGAAAGGTCTAAATGAAGGGGAATCTTCCCTTTTAAGATTTTTCATAGGGAAAAAAATGAATCTCTGAGACAGAAATGAACCCCCCAAAAAAAAGTACTCAAATGTTTCCCAGGCACGGCATAAGAACAAAAGCAAGAATAACAATTAATGCTCTCAGGAAAAATCTGTAAACAAGACCCAAGTAAGCAAGCATCTGAGTCACATATCCACATAATGATGTAACTTGCTCTTTGGTTTCTGCTACACCACAAAAGAAGAAATATGTTACCTGCTTCAGATTGAGGAGAAAGCTTCTTGTAAGATATGCTTGGACAATAGCTCGGGCACTTAGAAACAATAATTGATAGCCATTTTCCTGATTGAGAGAAAGATTTAGATTCATTGGCAACCTCTGAGTAATGAGGTATACTTGATAGTGGACGTGCACGCATGCACACTTGATAGTGGATATATAGACGTAAGTACAAAAGCAACACCGAGCATCTCAAGGTAGGTCTCAGATACATGGCGTTGACCAATAAAAATTAGGAAAAGAAGACACTTTATACTTCCTGTGTGCCATTAATACAACAAGCTAGTGCAGGATTATTCATGCTATATTAAAGATCAAGATGGGAAAAGCCGGATATGTATTCTCAGTAAAATGGAACCACGAAATTCCACAAAGATCATGTGTTGACATTGTCTAGAAGCAGTTTTATCGTTCTCCTGGATAGGTCAAACCAAAGCATCAAATATAGTAGCTAGTGTTATCACACTTTGTGAAGATAGAAGAACAAAGACTTAACAATTTATTTGGAGGTTATGACTTGGCAAATGAATATTATTTGCCTGTAGTTAAATTCAAAATCAAAAAGAAGACTTCAATGTCATATAGCTAAGATGTTCTATTGTTGAGAATGTGCTTCAATGAGAATAGGAAAGGAAGAACATTAATGAAAAATTCTATGAAGAAAAAGAGTTCAATTCCATGTTTTACTAACTATTTCAGCCCATAAAATGTGTTCAATAGCATTAACTCTGCCAGAAAAATGCAAATTCATTGCTTCATTTTCAGCACATCCAAACAGATGCATGAAAATAAAACTAAGAAAAACAAAGTGAAGATCTTGGTAAAGAATATGGATGCAAGAAAACCATACATGTTATAAAAGTGTAGCATACCTTTATTGCAGAAAAGAGTCCTGCAACACCTGATTGAGTCCAATCTTTTCCAACGAGAGGCATGACTTGGCCTAGCACGTCAGATCTAAGATAAAGAAAACAGAGAAAGCAATAACATATTTATTTGTAGAACCAACAAAGTGACATAACACCTAGAACAAAAGAGGAAAGAGATGGAACAAAAGATATATAGAGGATTTATCAAATTACATAGCAAAGCATGTGTCTGTGTGGGCGTGTGTGTGGGCATGGACATGCGTTGTGGGCACAGGCATGGGCTTGGGCGCGCAGGCGTGCGCGCAGGCATTTGTGTGGGCATGTGTGTGTGTGTGTAAACCAATGCTGAATTAGCTGAATAGCGATAGATCATCGATAAACCATAGATCTTACTTGGTAATTGTCCCATCAACATCAGATATGACTATCCGAGCATTCCATTTCCACAAGTATATGTGTGCATCTACCTGTCAAAAGAGCTAAAGCAGATGACTATAACTGAAAAATGCTTGGTAATCACTCAGTAATAAAAAAGCAAGCAGACCTCTTGCTTTCCCAGAACTCTTGAGAAAAAACGGAAGGCTATGACGTTCTGACCATCCTCCAGATTCAAAGATGCAATTTGCTCAGTTGTTGGAATATTTGTGCGCAACAACTGCTTGCTTGGAGAATTAATATTTGAGTTTTGTTCAATATGTGGACTTTGTAAGGCACATTCAGAATCAACAAAGAATTCTTCACTTGAATTATTACTATTAAGAGAAGAAGCCCTCCTAAACGAAATAGGCCATAGTCTCCATCTCCGGCTGGAAGGTGAGTTTGCATAGGCGCCATCCTCTTTCCCATTTGTTGTTCCCACATGTTCAACAGGGATTGAATCATGTGGTACATCAAAAAAATCTGAACCAAAGGTAGCTTTCCCAAGAACTATATAGGCAGCTCTATCCCATGGAAAATAACTCTCCTTGTATCGAACTATGAGGTTCCCATTCTTAATGATGGATGGTCCACATGCTTTGAACTCCTCCTCAGAGATACGATGGGCTTCAAAGACTTCCTCAGCGGAGGTCCTTCCCATACCAGGGAACAATAAATTGCCACAAAGTGAGAGCTCAAAACCTGTTAAGATTGCAAAGGGTGATTACATAAAGAAATATAGCTAAGCAATAAGAGGCAAAAGTTAGGACATATCCAGCAAAAAGCAGATTCACCCACCCAAACCAGACATACTACTTTCTCCCCTAAGATCATTGGATTCTCCTTCAACATCAGACCTCCCAGATGTCAATTCTATAGAGGCACCTACAGAATTGGAAGAATTGGCCTGTATCATATTTTCATTAGTTAAGTCCTTTGCCGAGGAATCATTCACATTTTCTGCAGCTGGTGACTTCTCAGAGGAATGTATATCAGGATTAACGCTCATACCCGATGGCATCATGACATCTTCCTGATTGAGATCAGCAGACATACTTTTTTCTGAGAATTCCACCCTTGTGTGTACACATTGCAAGGCATCAGATTTGCATCTCCAGTTGTCCCTCGCTGCATTTTCCTGTAGCATAGTTTCACTGAAAGAAGAAACCTCTGATGAATGTTTAAGGTTGCCTTCTGGACCTGAACACATTTCATGTAAATCACCCTCGTGGGCATGTGATACCAAATCCAAACAACTCTTAAACCGATCACTGTCACTCCTAAGTACATCAATATCCTTTGGACTGGTATCCATCTCACCATGACTTATTTTGCAAACCTCTTCCAGCGAAGCAGAAGCACCTACACTAGTATTCTCACCATTACTTATTTCAAGATGAGCATTTGCATGAGCCTCATCCATACAGATGGAATCCTCTTTAGCATCCTTAGGGCCTTCGGATGGATGCTCAGAGGTATTTGTATCGTTCAATGAAGATGTATCCAGATCTCCAAAAATAGCACCAAACTCTTCGCCGGAGCTCTCACCTGGTCCGAGATGAAACTGTGGGTTAGTCGACTGCACAAAATCTGCACTCTCTTCTTCATTCGAGGAGATTGGGGCAGTGAGAACATGTCCATCGACACTGATAAGCACCATCTCTGAACTAGAATCATTAGAAGATTTCACTATCTCTTCCACATCCTCCAAGTTCCCATAACTGTAAGGACTGAACCCAGGAGAGCAGGACGAACGTGCTGGTGAAGAATGCGCTTCTGGGAACATATATGAATTCTCATCATTCCCCTCTCCTTCCCTATGTTCCTCATAAACAGATTCACGAACTTGCGCATTATTACAAGTAGTATCATCTTGACTTGATTTATGAGGGCTGCCCTCAACCGAAGCAAGACTGCTGGGCATTATTACAAGTAGTATCATCTTGACTTGATTTATGAGGGCTGCCCTCAACCGAAGCAAGACTGCTGGATAATGAATCACTTCCTTCTACTTCCACTTGATTTATGAGGGCTGCCCTCAACCGAAGCAAGACTGCTGGATAATGAATCACTTCCTTCTACTTCCCTCATGAAATAGGCCTGGCCAGAGTGATCAAGGTACATGTGGAAATCAGCATCAACACCATTGACACTAATAGTAACGAGCTTTTCCGCACCTTTAATGATACCTTGAAACTTCCCAAAACGCACATACCACGGTGTACTTCGGTAAGTCCCATCTTCTTGCTCCACAACTATAATGTCAACAGCTCCTCCAAACGGATGGAAAGGCGTAGCAAAGGAGTAAACACCCTGGGAGATCAAGCTCCCCACTTTTCCTACCACATTCATCTTGATTGCAATCAAGATTAAAATCTTTAGGATTTAACAGCATAGCCCTCAAACAAGTGAGACAGAAGAACAACCCAGTGGTCGCAAATAGAGTTCAAGGAGATTCCTAGAGAAACAAAAACATTTCAATGTATATCAGCTGCTAAGATCAAATTCAGATTTTTTTTTTTTTAACAATTAGATGAGTAACTAAAGCCTGGATTCGGCATTCTCCCTTCTTGATATCAAAAGAAGCAGAAACTGCTCCTCAAAGAACAGGTTTTGAATGGATTTATTAACATAATCTGAACTTCTTAACATACATCATGACTCAATTTTCGATCTTTACACCTTTAACCTTCTCCAATGTTGTGATCGAGCAGAACAAATAGAAATGGGACAAAGAAATTTACGAAGATGCAAAGTCTCAAAAAAACCCTAGCATGATCTCCCGTATCGGGACAAAACATAGATGAAGAAAATCCGACCAAATTCATGGGAAAAAAAATTAGACCAAATGCCGCCAAGATCGAATCGTTTCGCCCACAATTTCAAGAAAATTCGACGAAATGAACGAGATTGGAGATGAAAACTTACCAGCTGAGCTCAGAGAGAGAGAGAGAGCGATTTGCTTTCGACGCCGTCGAGAAATTGGATAATGACGCAGTTTCGGGATTTTGAAGGGACATGCCACGCTCCGCAATTTATATAGGCTGCTCGTCTCTCTCTCTCTCTGTCGAATTTATTTTACATGAACCCCCTTCAACTACAGAATATCATGCGTCACTCCCTTATTGTAATTTAATAAAATATCACTCTCTTGGTAAATATCATCTCTGTCCACAATCTTTTCTGATTTTCCTGTAATCTCTGTTCTCCCACAAACAAATTCAGGTGGAACTTTTTCGGAAATTTAGACACAAAAGTATCCGAAGTTGTAATTTTCAAAGATCACGGTGATCTTGCACGAAACAGCCCAAAGTTAAGGGGGGGGTTTGTGAAATCTACCCTTACTTTGAACACCTCCTCACACAGCGGAATACTTTTCCTTTTGCCCCCCTCCGTCCACTTCCCGAAGCTGGGACTTCCGGCCGGTGCGGTTACCTGACGTAGATTTACGAAGATGTCACCGTGAGCTTCTTACGAGCTAATTTGTACTGAGCCGCGCTTTGGCGGGCGGTGAGAGTACCGCGATGAGGTAACGTCTCCCGAAAAGTCCGGAGCAAAAGCGTGCCTTAATTTGTTTATTCTAGTTTTAGGTGAACTCCAGAAGGCGCCCCTGAGCACGTGGTTAGGATACAAGGGGCTGTTTGGATGCCTTTAGGAAACTAGAGTATTTATGACACAAAATATAAAATGGTTATCCACCTCATCACTTTTCATTTAAGTGTTTACGTTGTTTGGTTAGGAATCTTTGTGAATCCTAAAATAATAGTATTACATTGTTTGGATAGTATAATATAAACTAGAGTATTTATGACACAAAATGGAAAGTGGTTATCCACCTCACCACTTTCTACAAGGTTTTGACTTTTTTATTATTATTTTCTTCATGGGATTTGTTTTTTTTTTTTTTTTTTTTTTTTTGAGAGGGAAAGGTGGGGAAAGCCTGTCAAAAGTCTGCCAAAAGTGGGGAAAGCAGCTTTTGGCAGACTTTCCACCCAAATCTTCTTTTTTAGAGGCGATTTAGGTGGAAAACCTGGCAAAAGCTGTACTTTTGACAGACTTTCCTCACCTTCACCTCTCAAAAAAAAGTAAACAAACAGCTCCTAATTTTGATGATTTTGCTTTCGGTGACACCTCCTCATCAAAAGGTGTAAGCTTTTCATGTAAAAGAGAATTTAAACAAACAATGTAAAGTGATGAAAGTTGACATTGGGACCCACTTTTTTACACTTTCCATCATTTTCATGGTAAAAACATACAACCAAACGGCCCCTAAGTATGGATAAAGTTCACCAAGCCCCCTATCTTTCAAGTGGTCTGCGTGATTCAAGTGGTCTGCGTGAAACATTGATAAGCTTTAAAATTTTAGAGAAAACCTCCCAAACTTTTTGAGAGTTACACAGAACCACCTAATTTCGGAAAGTTCCACTTGAAACTTTTTGGTAATTTCGCTCTAAGCTTTGTCGTGAGGGGAGGATAGAACGAAATGGGAAAAACAAAGAGTTTCTTCTTTCTTTCTATGTTATGTTTTGCTATGAG